CTTTGTGGTCACGCATCACTCAGAGGAACGTCCAGCAACATTCAAACACGTGAGCAGCGGTCAGGGGACACAAGACGTCCAGTTTCCAAAGTCAAACAAGCCCTGACGTATTACTGTGAGACCAATCAGGAATTGTTAATCTATCAAACGTCAGATGTGAAAAATCTAGGCTTATCATGTGCATCACGCACGGTTCACACCAACTCACCTCTGGAAGAAGTTTACATATGTCCTGAGTAACCTAGGTACTTTTTCTTGTGTGTTAGAGACTTTTGGAAACTTGAAGGCACTAATCATTCTGCAGTTATGGTCCTCAGCAAGTGCTGCTGTACAGATGAGCCCCCCACAGAGTGGGGGCACCCTCCCCAAGGAGACACACCTACACCTGAGAAGAATGGAATAAAAACAAGATCAGAAGTGCACTTATGGAGACGTGGTTGATCTCAGGCTTCCAAGCTTCCTCCAAAAAGTTGAGTTTTACAACATTTCCTGAAGAATAAAGTTTTTTTTCACTGTGCTCCTTTACAAACTGCAATGTGCTTCAGAATAAAGGCTTGTTCCTGGTGGAGGGGCCCTCCAGCCCGCGTCAGGAACTGTCCACTCTGGATGATGACCTCTGAGCAGCTTCTGCCGGCGTCTTCACGGGCTCGTTTGATTTCATCTCAGGAACACACAACTTGTCTGCTTGCTGAGCAGAACGGTGGCAGGACATTCCTGTGGTAGAACTGTTTGAACAGATGAACGTGGCACCCTCAGGCATCCATCCTCCATCCATCCATCATCTTTTACCCACTTCTTCCTTTTCGGGTCACTGGTGCTCAGCAGTCACGATGCGAGAGGCGGAGGACACCTAGTGGGTTTGAGGTGTTCCTTGAAATGCATAAACGTGTGAGTCCAGTCAACTTAATGTTGTCAACTAACTGAGCAACAGCTTTGACGTCATGACGTCATCCGCTGAGCTTTTCCAGTGTTAAGAACATACTGTCATGCTGGTGCAGGTCTTTGAAAAAGTAGTAAATGTTATCTAAACAAACCTGTCGTTAATCCAACATTTAACAAATAGACATGATTTGGGGAATTGTAAGAGAACTTACTATTATCTTATTAATTTAATGTCAGACTGTGAAAAAATTGTCGTCTTTTCATACGGTGCATGTAGAAGTTTCTTTCAGTTGTTTCTGCCCCTCTGTTCCAAACTTCAGTTTTTATAAAAAGTGTTGTGAAAGCTGCACAGACGTGCACTGTGGAGCTCGAGGACCCGAGGCCTTCAAAATGCAAAAAGACGGACTCGTGTGCAGTTCGATGAACGGCCACCTTTGTTCCTTTGTGCCGTTACGTAACTTTTACCTGATCGTCTCCATTAGAGGACCATGTTTGTGCTTCCAACAAGCTCCCTGGTTGCGGTAGCCGGCAGGTTATGCAACGTCACAACTCAAGACGAGGTTACGTAAGTGACGGGGCACATTCGCACAGCCCGCCGAGTGTAAAACAGCTCCAGCACCAAAGAAACGTGAGGAGGGAAGAAGCAAAGGGCAGAGTGGATGTGGAAGAAGAAGGCAGGATGAAAAAAAGAGAAATGTGTGGGAAACAGAAACCGGGCCCATGTCGTCGGACTGAGCGGCTCAAAGGTACTCTGCCTCTAACGAGTGCAGTCAGAAAGAGCCCCGTGTGAATAGATGCCGCTTCTCATTCTAATGCATGAAGCACTTAGTCTGGGTGAAATAAAAACGTGTCGCCCCAGTTCCTGGTCCGAGCAGTTCGAGCAACAGAACGCTGGAGGAGGAACTGGGACCAGCACAGAAACGAAGCACAGGAGCGCTCCACTAGTTATCACTGAGTCCTCATTTGTTCAGTTGTGTCGTGCACAGGGTGGCTCCGCTGAATGTGGCGCTGGACATTTATTCAGACTTGCTGTGGTGTCACTGGGTTTGGTGAAACATCTGCCAACAGTCCCCCCTGTTTTCTGTACCGCAGCAGATGCTGTGGGACAAACTGACTGTAAACTTGTAACTGCAGCATTCCCTGAAATGATCCCGTTCTTTAAATACCAGCACTAACCAAGGGACCCCCCCCCCCACACACACACACACACACACACACACAGTTTCCTGAGGCTCCTTATAATACATATTCATATATGGCTGAAGAAATAGCACAAAGCAGAAATAACATTCTCTGTTTATTAGCAAATGAACTGAAACGTCACTTTCTGTCCAATAAACAGACAAGAAGAAAAAAAATGATATGTGGATGTTGTTGTCTCTACGTGTCCCTGTGATGGACTGAGACCCGTACAAGTGTCCCTGTGATGGACTGAGACATGTCCAAGTGTCCCTGTGATGGACTGAGACATGTCCAGGTGTCCCTGTGATGGACTGAGACCTGTCCAGGTGTCCCTGTGATGGACTGAGACCCGTCCAGGTGTCCCTGTGATGGACTGAGACCCGTCCAAGTGTCCCTGTGATGGACTGAGACATGTCCAGGTGTCCCTGTGATGGACTGAGACATGTGCAGGATGTCCC